AAGCCCTTCACCAATCAGCTTGTCCAGAGATTCTGGATGGGGAATCTGGTTGTGTCTGTTGGCTGGCTTGCTGTGGGAGTATTTGGGTCCCTGGTCCTGGGGTGGATCAAAAGCCTGGCAAAGGGGCCAGAACAGTGATGCAACAGTTAAGTTCACATGTTCCACTTCAGCGGCCCAGGGTTTGCGGTTCGAATCCCAGGTGTGGACTTATGCACTGCTTGTCAAGCCATGCTGTGGCAGGCATCCCACATATAATGTGGAGGAAGATGGACACGGGTATTACCTCAGGGCCAGTCTTCCTCAGCAAAAAGAGGAGGATTGGCAGCAGATGTTAGCTCAGGGCTTATTTTCCTCAAAAAACCACAAAAGCCTGGGAGAGCAGTCCTTTTGGCACTAGGCTCCTCCAGGACCCTGGGTTAACAGGTGCCACCTGGTGCCTGGGTTTGTGGGCTTTGATTGGAAGCCTGAGATACAGGATCTGCTCAGGGCCACAGAGCTGGCCAGTGCTGACATGTGCCAATAGCATGGGCTTACTTGAGACTACTGGGAGCTTGGAGACTCAGGAGCTGCCTAGGGCCTTGAGTTCTTGCCAGTGCTGGGGTGAGCCAGGAGCCTGGGTTCATGGGAGCTACCTGTGAGCCTGATGCCATGAAAGTAAGTCAGTGCTGAGTTGGGCTGGGTGCCTGGGATCGGGGATCTCTTTGGGAACCTGAGCCACTGGAGCTGGTAGGAATTGCAGAAGCCCACAGGACTGGAGTGAACAGGAGGCCTGGGTTCACAGGAGTCCTTTTGGAGCCCAGAGCTGAGGAAGCTGCCTGGAGCTGTGTGAGCCTCATGGGTCCACTGAGCTGCCTGGGGCTGTTGGACTTGGCTAGTACACAGGTGGGCCAGAAGCCTGGGTTTGCAAGGGCTGTCTGAGAGCCTGGAGCTGTCACTCACTAGTTTTATTATCAAGTATCCCTGAATAACTCTTCCCAGAGAAAATTATTGCTATTGTGGTTCACCAAATGGTAATTTTTAAAGTTCAAACATTTCTTGTACAGGTATACCTCAGGTATAGTGTGGATTTGGTTCTCAACCAGTGCAATAAAGCAGATATCACAATAAAGTGAGTCACATGAATTTTTGGTTTCCCAGTGCTTATAAAAGTTATGTTTACACTGCGATGTAGTCTATGAAGTGTGCAATAGCATTATGTCTGAAAAAACAATGTACATATCTTAATTAAAAAATGTTATTGCTAAAAAATGTTAATCATCATCTGAGCCTTCCGCGAGTCGCAATACTTTTGCTGGCAGAGCGTCTTGCTTGGATGTTGCTGGCTGCTGACTGTTCAGGGTGGTGGTTGCTGAAGGCTGGGGTGGCTGTAGCAGTTTCTTAGAATAAGACAACAATGAAGTTTGCTACATGAATTGACTGTTCCTTTCATGAACATTGTCTCTGGAGTGTGCAATGCTATTTGAGAGCATTTTACCCACAGTAGAACTTCCTTCAAAATTGGAGTCAATCCTCTCAAATCTGACCTCTGCTTTATCAATGGTTTATGTAATATTTTAAATTCTTTGTTGTCATTTCAACAAACATTGTAGCATCTCACTAGGAATAGATTCCATCTCCATAAACCACTTTCTGCGATCATCCATAATACGCAACTCCTCATCCCTTAGTTTTACCATAAGATTTTAGCAACTCAGTCACATCTTCAGGCTCCACTACTAATTCTAGTTCTCTTGCTATTTCCACCACGTCTCTTGTTACTTCCTCCACTAAAACCTTGAACCTCTCACAATCATTCATGAATACAGCAATCAACTTCTTCCAAGCTGTTAATGTTGTTATTTTGACCTCTTCCCATTAACCAAAAATGTTCTTCATGGCACCTAGAATGGTGAATACTTTCTAGAAGGTGTTTAATTTACTCTGTCCAGATTCATCAGAGGAATCACTGTCTATGGTGGCTATAGCCTTAACAAATATGTATCTTCATTTTTTTTGGTGAGGAAGATTGGCTCTGAGCTAACATCTGTGGCAATCTTCCTCTATTTCATATGTGGGACACTGCCACAGCATGGCTTGATGAGTGATGTATAGCTCCAAGTCTGGGATCTGAACCTGCCAACCCCAGGCTGCTGAAGCAGAGCACATGAACTTAACCACTCTGCCACCAGGTGGCCCCTCAAATATATAACTTAAATAATAAGACTTTAAAGTCAAAATTACTCCTTGACCCATGAGCTGCAGAATGAATTTTGTGTTCAGGCATCAAAACAATATTAATCTCTTTACATCTCTATCAGAGCTCTTGGATAACTGAGTGCAGTATCAAAAAGCAGTAATATTTTGAAAGGAATCTTTTTTTTTCTGAGCAATAGGTCTCAACAGTAGGTTTAAGATATTCAGTAAACCACATTGTAAAGAGATGTGCTGTCTGTCATTCAGGCTTGGTTGTTCCATTTTTAGAGCATACGCAGAGTAGATTTAGCATAATTCTTAAAGTCCCTAGGGTTTTTGTAATGGTAAGTGAGAATTGGTTTCAATTTAAAGTCACCAGCTGCATTAGCCCCTAAAAGAGAATCAGCCTGTTCTTTGAAGCTTTGAAGCCAGAAAGCCAGGCACTGACTTCTCTCTAGGTATGAAAGTCTCAGATGACATCATCTTCCGAGAGAAGGTTGTTCCGTCTATGATGAAAATCAGTTGTTTAGTGTAGTCACCTTCATTAATTATCTTAGCTAGGTCTTCTGCATAACTTGCTACCGCTTCTTCATCAGCACTTGCTTCTTCACCTTTCACTCTTATATTGTGGAGATGGCTTCTTTCCCTAAACCTCAGGAACCAACCTCTGCTAGCTTCAAGCTTTTCCTCTGCAGCTTCTTCACCTCTCTCAGCCTTCATAGAACTGAAGTTAGGGCCTTGCTCTGCAATAGGATTTGGCTTAAGAGAACATTGTGGCTGGCTTGATCTTCCATCAAGAGCAGTAAAACTTTCCCCATAAAAGCAGTAAGGCTCTTTTGCTTTCTTATCATTTGAGTGTTCACTGCAGTAACACTTTTAATTTCCTTCAAGAACTTTTTCTTTGCATGCACAACTTTGCTAATTGTTTAGCACCAGAGGACTAGCTTTTGGCCTATCTCTGCTTTTGAAGTGCCTTCCTCTCTAAGCTTAATCATTCTTAGCTTTTGATTTAAAGTGAGAGATGTGCAACTCTTCATTTCACTTGAACACTTAGAAGCAATTGTAGGGTTATTAATTGGCCTAATTTCAATATTGTTGTGTCTCGGGGAATAGGGAGGCCCAAGGAGAGGGAGCGAAATGGGGGAAGGGCTGGTTGGTGGAGCAGTCCCAACACACACAACATTTATCCATTAAGTTTGTCATCCCATATGGGTGTGGTGCATGGCTTCCCAAAAGAATTACAATAGTAACATCAAAGATCACAGATCACCATAGCAAATATAATAACAAAAACATTTGAAATATGGTGAGAATTACCAAAATATGATACATAGACCCTAAGTGAGCAAATGCTTCTTGAAAAATGGCACCAATAGAATTGATTGACACAGAGTTGCCATAAGCCTTCAATTTGTAAAAAAATGTCTGTCAAGCACAATAACGTGAAGTACAATAAAATGGTGGAAAATTTGTTAGTTGGTTTGGTAAGTGAATAATGCCTCCTCCTCGTCTTCTTTCAAGATGTCCACACTTTCAAGATGTCTGTGATTTCGTGTTGTCTTATATGGTGTATACGGATATAAATAAATTATGGATATTGAATTGGGAAGATTAATCTGGATTATCCAAATTGGTCATTATAATCACAAGGATTCTTCTAAGAGAGAGGCAGGATGTCAGAGAGGAGACAAGATACTAAGCTGCTGACTTTAAAGATGGAGGAAAGGAATGTAGGTTGCATCTAGAAGATGGAAAGGTATGAAAATAGATTCTCTTCTAATACCTGCAGAAGAATACATTCCTGTGGACTCATCTTAATCTTATCTCCAGAACTCTAAGATAATTAATTTGTGTTATTTTAAGCCACTAAATATGTGGTAATATATCGAAGTAGCAATGGGAAACTAACATAGTTGGCATTCTATTGGAAGGAACAGCTTTCATTTTTAATATACATATAATATATATTTTATACATTATAATACATATTATACATTATATAATATTTGTAACTAAAATTTATCATCTGTCATTCTAATAAGGTGAACTTGACTAATCTCAGATTTTCCACTGGGATAGAAAGACTAATTTGCATACCTTAGGTCACATGACCACCCCCATAAACAGAGAATGGGGGCACTGTAATGAGCAGCTCACTAGAAATGCATCATGTAGACAAAACCAGGAGATGGCAATATTGTTGACGAATATTTAGTTAGTTAGGACATTGCCTTCCTTTACTCCTTCAGGAAACAGAACATTTTTGTAGTGTGCTTGAGAATGGGACCACATTGAAGAGTGGGGACTGAATATGGTTTGGGGAGCCATTTATGGCAGACTGAAATTTCAAATTACCTTGGTCCTTCATGAGATTTTGCAATTGAAATTCACGCTGATTAGTTAGTGACAAGGATAATTCAAATTTCCCTGCTTACACTTATAATCTAACCAATAATGAAACAGGGATGTGTTGCTGAGGGGAAGAATCTTTGACTTTTTTTGAAGATGAGGCCTAGTTGGTCCTTGAAATATTACATTAAGAGACATTGACTATTAATGTGGGCTTGTGAATTCTGAACTGCCAAGATTCTTAAACAGTGATCCTTGAATTGTATATGTATGAAAGTACATGCATTCTCTCAGACTTTGGGGTTGCTGGGTAGGGCCTGAGAGGGACAGAGTCCCTGTAGTCAGTGTCCTTTAGCCAAGAGCAGATTTGCACATTTCCACCTTATGCGTGCTATGACATGAAGACATTCGGGAAGCATTGTCTAGTGTCCCCCACTGCCACTCCACTGATGGTCTCTACCCGTTGCCAGGGGCTGATTTAGTTCCAAGCAGAACACTCCCAGTGTTCTTTGCAGTCTGTTGTGGACTAGGATGGTCCTGGCAATCTGAGGCTGATCTGGTGCTATGGAGGATCAATTTACTACTATGAAGTTCAATTTTATACAAGACCTGGAGTAGCTGAGTGAGTCCATACCAGCGTTGCCAGGAGACATGAGACTAGCATCACATTAATAAGCCTTAACCTAAAAGATGGTGGCAAGTGCATCTATATTTGGACTTTTCTGTCTTTTTCTTTAAATGTGGAAGGATTCCCTACCATTTAGTTAATTAACACATTTATCGCCTCACATGTTTATCTTTTTTTGTGAGAACATTTAAGTTCCATTCTCAACATGTTTTAATTATACAATACAATGTTATTGACTATAGACATCATGTTATATATTAGATCCTCAGAACTTATTCATCTCATAGTTGAAAATTTGTACCCTTTTACCAACCTCTCCTCATTTTCTTCACTTTCCGGACACTGGCAACCACTCTTATAATCTCTGTTTCTATGAGTTTCATCTTTTTTTTCTTTTTTTAAGATTACCTATATAAGTAATACCATGCTGTATTTTCCTTTCTCTGTCTGACTTATTTCACTTAGCTTAATGCCCTCAAGATCCATCCACGCTGTCACAAACAGCAGGGTTTCCTTCTTTCTCATGGCTCGATAAAATTCCATTGTATACATATATCACATTTTTTGACTCATTCATCTGTTGGCGGACACTTAACTTGTTTCCATATCTTGACTAATGTGTATAATGCTGCGATCAACATAAGAGTGCAGAAATCTCCTTGATATCCTATTTTCATTTCCTTTGGATCTGTACCCAGAGGTTAGATTGATGGATCATATGGTAGTTCTATTTCTAATTCTTTGAGGAATTCCATAGTGTTTACATAGTAGCTGCACCAATTTACATTCCAACTAACAGTACACAGGGTTCTCATTTTCTCCACATCCTTGCCAATACTTGTTATTTCTTGTTCTTTTGATAATAGACATTCTAACTTGTGTGAGGTGATGTGTCATTGTGGTTTTGATTTCCATTTTCCTGATGATTAGTGATGTTGAGCATCTTTTCATGTACCTGTTGGGCTTTTGTATGTCTTCTGTGCAGAAATGTCTATTCTGGTCCTTTGCACATTTTTTAATCAGATTGTTTATGTTTTTCCTATTGAGTTGTATGAGTTCTTTGTGAATTTTGGATATTAACTCCTTGTCAGATATATGGTTTGCAAAATTTCCTTCCATTCCATGTGCTCATTTTATTGATTGTTTCTTTTGCTTTGCGGAAGCTTTTTAGTTTGATGTAGTCTCATTGTTTATTTGTGCTTTTGTTGACTGTTGTTTTAGTATCACATCAAAAAAGTCATTGCCAAAACCAATGTTAAGGTGCTTACTCTCTATATCTCTTCTAGGAGTTTTATGGTTTCAGGTCTTAAATTTAAGTCTTTAATCCATTATGAGTAGAGTTTTGTGCATGGTATAATGCAGGGATCCAATTTCATTCTTCTGAAAGTGGCTGTCCAGTTCTGCCAACACCTTTTCATGAAGAGACTATCCTTTCTCCGTGTATATTCTGACTCCTTTGCTGTAAATTATTGACCATATATGTATTGGTTTATTTCTGGGTTCTCTATTCTGTTACATTGTTACATGTTCTCAATCTGTTACATTGATTTATGTGTCTGTTTTTATGCCAATACCATACTGTTTTGATTACTATATTTTTGTAATATGGTTTGAAAATTTCAAGTGTACATAATTATACATTAGTTTCTGTATAGACTACATTGTGTCCAATACCAGTAGTCTAGTTTTTATCCAACACCATACACATATGCCCATTTACCCCTTTTGCCATCCCTCCATCCCTTTCTCTCTGGTAACCACTAATCTGTTCTTCTTATTCACGTGTTTGTTTATCTTCCATATATGAGTGAAATCATCCAGTGTTTGTCTTTCTACTTTGGGCTTATTTTGCTTGTCATAATACCCTCAAGTTCCATACATGTTGTTGCAAATGACACGATTTTTTCTTCTTTTATGGTTGAGTAGTATTCCATTATATATATATATACTACATCTTCTTTATCCATTCACACATCGATGGGTACTTATGTTGCTTCTAGTCTTGGCTATTATGAATAATGCTGCGATGAAGTTAAGCTTGCATAAATTGAATTGTTGGCTTCATACTCTTTTGATAAATACCCATTAATGGGATAGCTGGGTCATATGGTATTTCTATTTTTAACTTTTTGATAAATGTCCATGCTGTTTTCCATTAAGGCTGTACCAGTTTGCAATCCCACCAGCAATGTATGAGGTTTCTCTTTTCTTCACATCCTCTCCAGCATTTTTTATTTTTTGTCTTGTTGATTATAGCCACTCTGATGGGTGTAAGGTGATATCTCCTATAGTTCTGATTTGCATTTCCCTAAAAATTAGTGCTATTGAGCACTTTTTCATGTGCTTGTTGGCTATCTGTATATCTTCTTTGGAAAAATGTCTGTTCAGATCCTCTGCCCATTTTTTGATCAGAGTATTTTCATTGTTGACTTGCATGAGGTCTTTATATATTTTGGAAATTAACCTCTTAATGGATATATCATTTGCAAAAATTTTCTTCCAGTTGGTGGGTTTTCTTTTTGTTTTGTTGATGGTTTCCTTTGCTGTGAAGAAGCTTTAATTTCATGTATTCCCATTTGTTTATTTTTCTATCATTTCACTTGCCTAGTCAGACATGGTATTTGAAAATAGGCTGCTAAGATTGATGTCAAAGAGCATACTGCATATATTTTCTTCTAGAAGTTTCATGGTTGCAGGTCTTACATTCAAGTCCTTAATCCATTTTGAATTAATTTTTGTGTATAGTGTAAGATAATGGTCTACTTTCATCCTTTTGCATGTGGCTGTCCAGTTTCCCCAAAACCATTTATTAAAGGGACTTTCCTTTCTCCATTGTATGTTCTTGGTTCCTGTGTTGAGGATTAGCTGTCCATGAACATGTGGTCTTATTTCTGGACTCTAAATTCTGTTTCATTGATTTCTGTGTCTGTTTTTGTGCCAGTACCATGCTTTTTTGATTGCTATAGCTTTGTAGTATATTTTGAAGTCAGGGATTGTGATTCCTCCAGCTTTGTTCTTTTTTCTCTGGATTCCTTTGGCTATTGGGGATCTTTTGTTGTTCCATGTAAATTTTAGGATTCTTTTTTCTGTTTCCATGAAGAATGTCATGGGAATTCTGATTGGGATTGAATTGAATCTGTAGTTTTCTTTAGGTAATATGGACATTTTGGAGCCAGCCCTGAAGGTCTAATGGTTAAAGTTTTGCTTGCTCTCCTTTGGCAGCCCAGGTTTGGTTTCCCAGTGCAGAACCACACCACTCACCTGTCAGTAGTCATGCTGTGGTGGCAAATCTAAAGAAGCTGAAGGACTTACAACTGTAATATACAACTATGTACTGGGACTTTGGGAAGGAAAAAAAAGTGAGAGGACAATTGGCAACAGATGTTAGTTCAGGGTGAAACTTTCTTAACAACAACAACAAAAGTATGGACATTTTAACTTTGTTTAATCTTCCAATCCATGAGCATGAAATAACTTTCTATTTCTTTCTGTCTTCTTTGATTTCTTTCAATAATGTCTTAACGTTTTCAGTGTATAGGTCTTTCGCCTCCTTGGTTAAAATACTTTTAGGTATTTTATTCTTTTTGTTGTGATTGTAAGTTGAATCTGCAAATCAATCAATGTGATACACCACATTAACAAAATAAGAAATAAAAATCATATGATCATCTGAGTAGATGCAGAGAAGATTTGACAAGATCCAACCTCTGTTTATGATAAAAACTCTCAATAAAATAGGTATGGAAGGAAACTATCTCAACATAATAAAGGCCATGTATGACAAACCTGCAACCAATACATATTTAATAGTGAAAAACTGAAAGCCATTTCCTGAGAACAGGAACAAGACAAGGGTGCTCACTCTCGCCACTCTTATTCAACATAGCACTGGAAGATTTGGCCAGAGAAATTAGGCAAGAAAAAGAAATAAAAGGGATGCAAATTGGAGGGGAAGAAGCAAAATTCTCACTGTTTGCAGGTGACATGATTCTATACATAGAAAACCCTAAAGAATCCACCAGAAAACTATTAGAAATAATCAATACCTGCAGAAAATTTTCAAGGTACAAAATCAGCATACAAAAATCACTTGCATTCCTGTGCATTAATAATAAACTAGCAGAAAGAGAAGTCAAGAATAAAATCACATTTGCTATCACAACAGAAAGAAAAAATATCTAGGAATAAATTTAAACTAGGGGATGAAAGATCTATAGCATAAAAGGTTGATAAGAAAGCAGATACAGGAAAATAGGGGTTACAGTTGAGGTCATAACTTGATATAAATCTAGAAATATTTGCTTATTAAACACCATTTATATCTTCTCTGTAGCTTTTATATCATCCACACAAGTTTAAAGAATTCGCCTTGATAGCGGAGTCAAAGCAGAAAAATCTAGTGTTTACAGTAAAGGCAGTATTTTTTATAAGCGCAGGTCATGAAATCTCCAGAACTAGAGTCTCTTATGGATCAATTGGTATTTTAGAGTCCCTGGAAGTAAGCATGAGGGACAACCAACACAGGAATACTACACTTCTTGTAAAGGACAAGGATCTCATCACATGCTCCATTAAAGGACTTTATCTGTCAGTCCCAGAACTGCCTTTATCATACTAAATCTGGCAATATATGTAGTGCATGGATTAAAAAATGGCTCTAAAAATAGACTCCTATCCCTTCTTAAACTTCATCTACATAGAAACCTTCACATCCTTGTTTCTCAACGTATTGATGAGGGTATTGACACTAAGAGTGACAATTATGTAGAAGAGAGTAAGGAATTCACCCTGCTCTTGGTGAAATAAAGTTTGTTTGCTGGAGGTATATCTATATCTATATCTATATCTATAATCTGCTGTATTGCTTTCTATCTATCCATCTGTCTATTATATATGATCTTTCTGTCTGTCTATCTACACTATCTATCTTGTGGTAACATAGGAGAGACACACTATAGGGAAATATAAATGTGGAAAGTTTTCTTTCCTTCTGGCAGTTGATTTAATGAATGTCAAGTCACCACTTGCAATGTACTTATAGTCAATGATGGATAGAGTCAGGGACACAAGCATGATTAGTATTGTGAAGACAAAAACCTTAGGGGCCATAGTATACACACAGTGGAGCAGTATGTGCATCTAGAGTACCAATATGAGAGTGTTGCCAATTATGCGGGTACAGATGCCAGTTAGTACAGAGATTTGCAAAGTGCAGCATGTTTGGGATATGCCTTGACAGACAAAAGGATACATTTCACCATGCTCAGTGTGAGGAAAAAACAGTGCTGGATGGCAAATCTAGACAGGTTGTGGTCTTGTCTGTGCCCCAGATAAGATTATACAACATTGGAGGGATGAAACCTGTGGTGAAACGCACATGTAGTAATGAAGGGGTAACTTTCTGAAACAACACTGGTATGAGGAGTTGAAAATCTAGAGGTGAAATCAAGAAAATATTCATGTTTCCCAGGAACGTGAACAGGTAAAATGTGAGGAAAATTGTATGGAGAATTAGCTGTAGACCTGGGATAATAAGATAAACCTACCAGGATATAGCTCTCTAAAGATCTCATATTGTTCTTTTTCATTCCCTGTAGCCTTGCTTTACCTCATGGCAGGAAGATGAGTGGCTCCAAAATGGAATGACCCTGTGGAGGAAGAAGTTCACATTTGACTACAAGTTTTATCAAAGAGACATTAAACAATTATGGGATCTGAGATGCACATCATCTTTTTGAGAGTTGATATTCTGAGGGTTGACTATCAATAATTTCTAAAATTTTCTGTCTTCTTTTCATTTTGCCAGGTGTACAAAATGCATCTTCAAAGAGTGAATATGTACAAGGGGAAGATAAGTCAATATTCTCCTTCTTTTCTATTTGTAATTGGGGGAGATTCAAATTTTTCATTTTTCCATTCGTATGTAACCCAAAGATGTCTCCCTACAGGCCATTGGCATTCTGGTTTTTATCTCTGGATCAGGGAAAACCAAGATCACTTTAATGATCAATTTAAATAAAGAATTAATTTTTTAAACTTGACTTTATTGGGTCTGGTCCAAATGTGAACTCAATAAGCTTATAATTGACCAGGCAACACCTTAGAAGGCCGATGATGGGATTATTTTGGTATACCTTTCTAATTACATCTATTCTGTTTAACATTATATGTAACATTTAATCTGAGAAGATGAGACAGAGCAGCTTCTTCCAGCAACTCAGTTATTCTAAGCCCTATTGTACCCCAACCTCAATGGTTTCATTATATATGTTTCATCACTGGGTATGTGTTCTCACCCAAAGAGTGTGTAGGTTTACAGACATCTTATGAATATGTAAGAAATGGGAAAAGAAGGAAACCATATCCATCAATAAAAATTAACCGATACCTAAAACTCAACTCCAACTGAAGTTTCATCTATAATGTTTTAATAGTTTATAACCTGTTCTAATTCACAGTCTTCTCAAATAAAACATTCATTTACCAGAAGCCTCCAGAAATGAATTCACGCCATTTATCCCTTATGATCCTTCATACATAACTTGTGCTTTATGGTCTATGATAATGTTATAAATAGAACGGTTTGCATTGGTTTGGTATCTTTGAGGGTGAGTATGGACTCTGAAAATTACCAAAAGTCAGAGTCCATATTTTTTTTTATAAAGCCCTTTGAAAGTCATATACATCCAGTTTGTTTCATCTCTCCTGTGCGTTGGGGGAAAAGAAAAAAGCTGAGAGCTGTTGCTTTAGAAATACTTTGGTGTAATTAAATCATTTTATGCCATTCATGTTTCCCTAACAACAAGTTCATAATATTGCATATAAAAACTTTAACATTTGCTAGCACCCAATAGTTGGCAGAGGATAAAAATTCTTTTGCAAATCTAGTGACCACAGCATGAAGAATATTAGAGCTTGGCTATAACCCAGATTGTCATGTATTTTCCAAATTTTGATAACTAAGTGAATTCTGCTAGAACCATATCATTGGTTAAATTCTTCTTCAATGAAATAAAGAAGTTTAAACTCTGAATATATAACTCTTTAATAATATCAATGTTTAAATGTTTATTATTTAATAATATTTAATATATATTAAAGTGAACTGGAATGATACATGTCATGCTTATGATAGTGGCTGTCTCTGGGTTTGAAGTTAGGTCAAAGAATGGTAGTTAAAAGAGATGTGAACTTTATCTTTGATAGTTTATGTGCTAAAATTGCTGAAAATAAATATGAAGAAACTAATAGTTGATGATTCTGAGTTGTGGGAACATTGGTGTTTTATTTTTTACTTTTTTCCTTTTTCTCCTCAAAGCCCCCCAGTACATAGTTGTATATTTTTAGGTGTTGGTCCTTCTAGTTGTGGCATATGCGATGCTGCCTCAGCATGGCTTGTTGAGCGATGCCACGTCTGCTCCAAGGATCCAAACCTGCGAAACCCTGGGCTGCCCAAGCCAAGGACGCAAACTTAATCACTTGGCCACAGGGCCAGCACCTGGTGTTTTATTCTTAATGTCTTTTAATATCTGAAATAAAGAATAATGAAGATCAAAAGTAAAATTGTTTTTAAAAATATCAGTTCAAATTAAAATTCATTCTAATGGTAATAGCAGCTAACGTATTGAATATTTATGTGATAAGCACAATGGAAAATGTTTATATATAATTTTCTTATTGAGTCCTCACAATAATCAAAACTACTGAAGCATAAAGACTATATTCTGGTACGTCTCTTAAAGACAAAGGAAAATACCTGATCGCTCTCTAAAAATTACAATTTTTATAATGGAATCTTATTATGATATGATATAATTTCCATACCAAGATTTTCTTTGCTACAGATGGGATATAATGGCTAGAAACAATGTAACAATTTAAAAGTGTTCATTAATTTATAAACTCATGACATTTTTTTCTGTCTTACAAGTCAATTATTGGGTATAGACTAGCAATCACAGCTAATTTCATTTGCTTATGCATTCTGGCAAAATTCTTGAGAAGATGCCACAGAAAATTATTGATGAAGATGTTTTGGAAATATTAAAGAGTTTTGTTAAGTTTTCTGAGTTTTGCTGGTTACCTTATAAGAGGTAGTTTGAATGGTCTTCAGAGATTATTTTCAATACTTTTGCAGGGCTAAACTTGGCCTTGAATTTCAGAGATATCAGGCAGATGCAACTCAAATTAATAGCAAAATAACAGTTTAATCTTTATGTATTTCATTTTAAAAATGTTTCTTGCTTCCCTTCGTCCCCAAATTAGACTACCTCTGACAAGTTGTCCCTCAAATTTGGCCCCTAGCATGACGAGGAATAGGGGAAGAAATTTCAGGTAATTCAGGACAACCCATTCTCTTCCCTATAAATACAGTTTAACCTGTTTTTACCAGTGACAGTTGGTTTACAGATTCATTTTTATCCTAATACAACAGTGTGGTATCATGTTAAAGGTATTCTTCAGAAATTGTTCTAATTAGGACAACTCCTGAAGGGCAATAATTGCCACATTGGGATTTACCCTCCCAATGGTCCCAGTCAAGGAAAGCAAGTTGCAGTGTTCTTTTGTTTCCATAAAGTCTACATTTGCTTTAAGAAAAGGAATCCACACCTGATACACCTAATGCTCTAACGAATTCCTGCTTCCAGCTAAACCCAAATCCTTTTGGTAGATGCAGGACTCTCTATTCTGCAGTAATTATGATCATAAAAATTTTCAGACTCTGTTTCTAATATAATGTAGTAGATTAGAATATATGATATAGACAGCCATTTACGTTGGTGACTTCAAGGAAATGAAAACCAGAGATCCGATCTGTCTACACATAATGAGAGTATACATCGGGAAGACAAATACTACAGGAAATCTGAACAGACTCAGGAAGGACCAAAGGGAAAAGGGTTGTCTGAGTTCTATTTAAGCAGTAGGTAAGAGTATAAAAAGTACTAATGTAAGAAAAAAACAAGTTGGCCAGCGATATGAGGATAAGGAAAAGAGATGTATGTCTGCCACTTTTTCCTCCATAATGCATTATATCACAAAGAGAGTGGAAGTATTTCCTTCTATAGTCCACAAAAACAACCTTGGAGAAAGTTTTTATTTCCATGTATCCTATTAAGAAAATGATATCATAAAGTTCCTAGCTCTTCTCTACTTACATCCTTTATCTTTTTTGTCCCTTAACTCATTGCCTTTCTAACTTCAATGAGAATTCTGAAAGATAAGTCATGCAACAGAGGAAGATATCTCACAGCTGCAACTTTAATTTTGTTAATGTACTAAGTTATTCAGGCAGATGTATAAGGAAGAAGAAAATTATATCTGCATCAGAAGAAGAACATTTGGATTCATATTTCTCATGAGGTATTGTCTCTTATTTTAGGAAAATAAAAAAGAAATCTTGGGTTTTCTGCATCATCCCTCAAATGTTTGTGAGCTCTAAGTAAAGTAATCTTTATGATTTACTGTTTGACTGTTGCTAATTTTTTTTTTGAGTAAGATTAGCCCTCAGCTAACATTTGCTGCCAATCTTCCTCTTTTTGCGGAGGAAGACTGGCCCTGAGCTAACATCCATACCCATCTTCCTCTACTTTATATGTGGGACACCTGCCACAGCATGACTTGACAAGCAGTGTGTAGGTCCACACCCTGGATCCGAACCGGAGAACCCCGGGCTGCCAAAGCAGAACCTGCAAACTTAACCACTGCACCACCGGGCTGGCCCCTGACCATTGCTAATTTTTGATTCACCCGTAGTGAACTTCTTCACAATCCAGTGGGCTGCAGCCACACCTTCTTTGATGTGGTTTGAACTTCAGGCATCAGGAGAAAAATCTCCCTTCAAGTTTGTCCTTTCTTGGATACAGTCCCTCAGTCAATATATACTGTAGATTTCTCTTTACGTCTTTATAGTTACTTCCTTTCATAGTTTAATAATTCTCTATACTAAACTTCTGTTTAATTACAAAAGTTTCCTTTTTAAGCAATGTACTGTCTGATTACACTGGATGGTTTCTGAGCTCTAGACAGTAGTCTACATTAGTGTAACAACTAGTTACTGATTAAGAGTTAAAAGGCCTGAATCACTCTTCCAGCCTTGGGACCAAAGGAACTGTTTCTAACTTTCCTGCTGAAACTCAACCAATTATCTTCTAACATCTTTTTCAAGAGCAGCGCTTAAAGAACGTGAGCAATTAAGAGACCCCAAAAGAGGTAACTAAAGGTGGCTCTACTGTGATTTCTTTCTTTTTTTGTCATAGATTATTAGGAAGTGTGAGAGAAAGAACTGGCTGTAGAATGAGGGAGGCAGAAGTGATTTGGCAAAGTTGAACTGAGGCAAAGCATTCACAGAGAGGAGGAGGGACATTTAAATGGTGGGTTACTGTGCTTTGTCACAATAATTATATTGCGAAAGGCAGTATAAAGCTTTCCTATGAAAGATCATAAATCTACAAGAGAAAATGAATCACCTAGAAATTAAACTATTTGTGAAATGTATTTAATTTTCTTAACAAAAAAGAAATGTAAGATTAGGCACAATATATTACATGATAACCAGACATTTAATGGTTTTAATAAATATTCAAAATTCTTGTTTAAGTTGGAGTTTAAAAATATGTGTAGAAATTATAAATTTTGTGCAGAATTTAAATACTGTCTCAATTATTGTCCTAGAGAAAAAGAAGAAGGTAGAAATATTCTTCAGGCTCTGTGGTTCAAATGAAATTGTATCATTTACGGTGACATGGATGAACCTGGAGGGCATTATGCTAAGTGAAATAAGTCAGACAGAGAAAGACAAATACCACATAATTTCGCACATATGTGGAATATAGACAAACAAACACTTAGAGAAGGAGAATAGATTGATGGTTATCAGAGGGAAGGGGGTAGGGGTAGGGAAGAGGGGTAAAAGGTCACATGTGTATGCTGACAGATGGAAACTAGACTTTTGGTAGTGAAAATGACGCAGTCTAAACAGAAGCCAAAATATGATGATGTACCTCTGAAATTACACAGTTATAAACAAATGTTACCTCAATAAAATAATTACAAAAACTAAAAAAAACCACCAAAATTTATTTTACATTTACATTTTTAGCATTTTATTCTGGTAAGATTTAAAATCTACATAAAAGTTGCAAAAGTGGTACAAAGAACCACCATTAACCCTTTAACCAGATTCAGGTATAGTTTACACTGTGGCTGGAAAGATTTAATCTATCATCTTTCTGTCTGTCTCCTTTTCTCTCTCTCTCTATTTATGTGTCTATCTATCTATTAATCTACCTTTCATCTATGTGGCATCTGTTTTTCTGGACCATTTGAGAGTAAGTTGGAGACATGTCCCTTTACCCCTAAACACTTCATTGTTTATTTCCTAAAACTTTATTTTACATAACCACTGTATGGTTCAAATCAGAAAATTCAATATGGATACAATATTATTATCTAATCCATAGTCTTTATTCATATTTCTCCAATTGTCTCAGTAGAGTTGTTATTAGCTATTTTTTCCCCTGTCCAGGATCACACATTTAGATGTCATGTCTCTTTGATCTCCTTTCATATGCACCAGTTCCTTAGCCTTTGTTTATCTTCCTTGAATTTGATGTTTTGAGAATACACGCCAGCTACTTTGTCCAATTTGTCTCAATTTGAGTTTGTCTTATGTGTCTTCATTATTAGAATCAGGCTGTGCATTTTAGACAGGAGTATCACTGAGGTGACATTATGTCCTGTTCAGAGCATAATATCAGTGAGCATATGTTGTTGGTTTGTCTCAACATTGGTGATGTTAACATTGATTACCAAGCTACAATGAGGCCCAGGAGGTTTTTGTTTTGTTAAGGTTACTATTTTTCATTTCATAGTTAACAAATAATTTGTGGGGAGATAGTTCAGACTATGTAAGTATCCTGTTTCTGATCATATTTTCATTCACTAGTTTTTAGCATCCCTTTATGTGTTTCTAACTCCACAAATGCGTCTATATTTTTAAATTAGGATCCTATCAAGAGAAATAACATTCTCTTCTCCACAATTTCTTTATTATTTTTTTATATGTCAGTATGAGCTTGTAGAGTCTTATTTCTTTCAATTCATTAGTATCATCATTTTTCTTAATGCCCAGATTGTCCAAGAATCGAATAGTGTAGGCCCTTCAAACTGGTTTCTGTTTCTTTTTCATGTGTCCTTATGATTCTTGAGGGATTTCCCTACTTTTTTCGAGTGTATGTGATTCTTTCCTCAGGTAACAAGAAATGAACGATGATGGGAAAAATCAATGCAAGTTCTGAAGGCTACTTTGTTCTGCTGGGTTTTTCTAATTGGCCTCATCTGGAAGTAGTTCTCTTTGTGGTTATCTTGATATTTTACTTGATGACATTGATAGGCAACCTGTTCATCATTATCTTGTCACACCTGGACTCCCATCTCCACACTCCCATGTACTTCTTCCTCTCAAACCTCTCTTTTCTGGATCTCTGCTATACCACCAGCTCCATCCCTCAGTTGCTGGTCAACCTCTGGGGCCCAGAGAAAACCATCTCTTATGCTGGTTGCATGATTCAACTTTACTTTGTCCTTGCACTGGGAACCACAGAGTGTGTGCTACTGGTGGTAATGTCTTATGACCGTTATGCAGCTGTATGTAGACCTTTGCATTATACTGTCCTCATGCACCCTCGTTTCTGCCATCTGCTGGCTGTGGCTTCTTGGGTAAGTGGGTTTACCAACTCAGCCCTTCATTTTTCTTTTACCTTCTTTGTACCCCTGTGTGGACATCACCAATTGGACCACTTCTCATGTGAAGTTCCAGCACTGCTGCGACTGTCGTGTGTTGATACCCATGCTAATGAGCTGACCCTCATGGTCACAAGTTCTATTTTTGTTCTCATACCTCTCATCCTCATTCTCAGCTCCTATGGTGCCATTTCCCAAGCTGTGCTGAGGATGCAGTCAACAACTGGACTTCAGAAAGTCTTTGGGACCTGTGGAGCCCATCTTATGGTTGTAGCCCTCTTTTTCATTCCAGTCATGTGCATATATCTCCAGCCACCATCGGGAGATTCTCAAGATCAAGGCAAGTTCATTGCCCTCTTTTATACTGTTGTCACACCTAGCCTCAACCCTCTGATCTACACCCTCAGAAACAAAGATGTAAGAGGGGCAGTAAAAAGACTAATGGGGTGAAAGTGAGCCCACATACTTGTGGCATTAACAGTATAATAGAGCATCTCTTCACCAATTGTTCGTCCAACTATCCATTCATAAACCACCCTTTCATTCACTCTCTCTATCAACACTTATTGAGCATGTACTCTCAAAAGGTAACAGAGTTCTTGGAAACAGATATGAAGTAAACACAGTCTGCTTCAATACCAACCACTCTCTATTGGAGAGAACAGCTGTGTAAAATTTAGATCAAACATGAATATTACATTTCTTCTCCAGTGGAATAAAGCTAATAAAACAAAGGTACTCTTTTCTTAGTTGAAAAATCATGGAATTTGTTGTAAATATTGATAAAAGACCAGGTGTAATTCTTATGGAAAGATATTCTTAATTTTTAAAAACATAGAATATGCATTTTAATTTCTTGCTTATAAGTCACAATTCATCATAAAGTTTGTCTTCTATCTTTTAGTCATAGACATAGTGAAGTATCTTAAATCTCTTTTCCAACACTGTTGCTCTTTTTTGAATTTTAGATAATATTGAGAGACTTTTGTCTGTATTCTTTAACATGCAATTTTGAATAGTAAGAAAGTAACTTTTAGGGGCCGGCCCTGTGGCCGGGTGGTTAAGTTCGCACGCTCTGCTCCAGTGGCCTGGGTTTCCCCAGTTCAAATTCTGGGCACGGACATGGCACCACTCATTGGGCCATGCTGGGGTGGCGTCCCACATGCCACAGCTAGAGGGACACATAACTAAAAATACACAAATATGTACTAGGGAGCTTTGGGGAGAAAAAGGAAAAAAAATAAAATCTTTTTTTTTTTTAAAAAAGAAAGTAACTTTTATAAATTGTAGCAAGAAGGACTCTGAAGTATTGCAGCAGAAGTCAGCATCTCATATTTCTTTTTTTCCAAAGCAATGAGAAGTGTATTATAAGTGGAAATAACTTGTGAAGCTGTGATATAGAGATTGTAAACTGATTGACATTATAAACTAGATATAGTTAGGTAAAGTAAGTACTTGGAGCACCTGCATAAGCTAAGGAGCAAAAAGGATATCTGAGACAGACAGAGTACTGGGTTCTGAAAGTGACTCTTGATAAATCCAAACGGTGTTTAAAAGAATTACTTGAAAATATATCGGGATAACTTTATAATAAAAACTGTATGGACAATGTTATTTGTTTCTTTTTAAGCTTGATTTAATTTGAATATTTGCAGTTAGTAAGTATATTATGAAGATCAACTTATATATTTTCCAAATAAAGAAATGTATTTTTTATGAAAGTAATAGTTTTGTTACCTATATTATTGCCAACTATCTCAACCAGAAATAAGTGTACTATGTATACAACACTTTAAACTAGCAGGCATATTCAGCTAGAGTGGAAAAATGGATAAAGGGCAATTCAATATAACATAAAATCTTGGCAACACTTGAGATTTGTATGGTAACCAAAATGTCAGTTGTAGTTTTTGAGGCTTTAAAGGTTAGATATGATTGATTCATGCCATATTTCCTAAATTACTAAAATGAAAAACACATCTCAAAATTCCCCTTAATATCAAGTGTGGCTTGCAATTACATCGATTCTGCTGACTTTGTCTTCTCCTTTCTGTGTCTTCCCTTATCTTCAAGTAGGCATAAACAATAATATGGGGTGTATTCACTTCTCCTTAACTTACTGTCCAAGAAATGAAGAACCAAGAATCTTGTTTATGAAGGAAACTTTAGTAAACTATTGGCAGCACATATGGTGAACCATCGCAGAGCAAAAAACCATAAAATCTTAAAACACATAGCTTAGTTCTTTGGACCATCTTGCACTATGGAAATCTTATGGTTTGGGACACCTCATTTAGTATCCTAGTCTCTCGTTATGTAATTCTTTAAAAAAGTTTTTAAATTTACCTTTGTCTTTTCTTCTTGAAAAACATATAAATACCCTTTTACATGTGTAGATGATTTTTTTGGAGTGATATAATTATGGCATATGTGATCATTCCAAGCCACATTGGCTTGATTATCTATTTATTTTATAATCTAAAACAAAGATCATTTACTAAAAATTCCTTTGATGATTAACACAGCTATTTTTGTTTTTATACTTTTCAAACCACTTATGTGAACCTTATGCAATTTGATCACAGGCAGGATGACAGGTATAAGTTTTTTTCTCACTTTGTAAATAAGAATATTGCAGTGAAGATACATGACTTTCTTAAGCTTAAACAAGGTGATTGCAACTACAAATGTGCCAGCAGAGGAACAACTCATCAAGCATCATGAAAAGCTATGGTAACACTGTACCACAAAAAGAAAATGACAGTTTTCTAAAAATCAAACTTGAATTCATGGAAGATTGCAATCTAAATGATAGAGAATTCAAGATAGACACCATGAAGAAAATAAATGAGCTAAAGAAAACTCAGAAAGACAGTTCAGTGAGCTCAGGAATAAAATTAATGAACAGAAGGAGTACTTTTCCAAAGATTGAAACTCTAAAAAAGAACCCAAGAGAAACTCTGGTGCTAAAGAACTCAATAAATTAGATGAAGAATAAAGTAGAAAGCATTGAAATAGAGAAGATCACATGGAAAAGAGAGTTAGTGTGGTCAAAGATAGAAATGTAGAAATGATTCAGGAGGAAGAGGAGAGAGAACTAAGATTTAAAAACATGAAGACATTCTGTAAGAAATATCTGACTGAATTAGGAAAAGCAACATAAGGATAATGGGACTCCCAGAAGGAGAAGAGAAGGAGAAGGGAGCAGAGAGTTTATTTAAAGAAATAATAGCTGAGAATTTTGCAAACCTGGGGAAGAAACTGGATATACAAGTACATGAAGATAATGGAACACCTAATTATCTCAACACAAAAAGACTTCAGCCAAGACACATTATATTAAAACTGTCAAAAATCAATGACAAACAAAGAATATTAAGGGAGGCCAGTGAAATAAAAACAATAGCCTACTAAACAATTCCCATTAGGCTGTCAACAGATTTCTCAGCAGAAACTCTACAAGAAGGGAGAGAGTGGAATGGTATATTCAAAATATTGAAAGATAAAAACTGTCATTTAAGAATTTTCTATCCAGAAAAGTATCTTTCAAATATGAATGAGAAGTAAAAGCTTTCCTAGACAAACAAAAGCTGAGGGAATTCATTGGCACTAGCCTTGCCTTACAAGAAATCTGTAAAAGAGCTCTCATACATGAAATGAAGAGGCAAAGGTATACAAAGCTTTAAGCAACATGATACATAGACACACAGGATCAGCAAATTGCAACTCTATATCAGTATAGGTTAGTAAACAATTATATGGTTAAAGTGAAATAAACCATGAAAAATAACTGTAATTACTTCAATTTGCTAACAAAATTCACAATGCAAAACAGATAATTTGTAACAATAAAATCATGCAAGAGGAAGAGGAAAAGAACAGAACCCACATAGGCAAGTGAAGGTAAGATGCTTTCAGCAGAAAAGACTAGCTCATCTATGAAATCTTTTGTACAAACCTCATGGTAACCATAAAATAAAAATTCAGAGCAGAGTCACAAAACATAAAAAAGATGAAACTGAGAAACACATCACAGAAAACCATGAAACTGAAATGGCAGGCAGGAACATAGGAAAAAGAAACAATGTAAATGTAGAGGAACCAGATATCAAAAGATAAAATGGCAATATTAACTCCTCACATATCCATAATCACCCTAAATGTAAAAGGATTGAATTCACCCATGAAAAGACACAGAGTGGCTCAATGGATTAAAAAATAAAGCCCAACAGTATGCTGCCTCTGGTGGACCCATCTCAGCTCTAAAGACAAACATAGGCTCAAAGTGAAGAGATGGAAGATGACACTTCAAGTTAATGGCAACCAAAAGAAAGAGAGTGTAGCCATACTTATATCAGTCATAATAGATTTCAAGCCAAAAAGGATAACAAGAGACAAAGATGGACATTATGTAATGATAAAGGGGACAATCCCCCAGCAATGAGGCATAACATATATTAATACATATGCACCTAATATAAAAGAAACAAAGTATATAAAGCAACTATTAACACACTCAAGAGAAATGTTGATAGTAACACAACAATATTGGTGACTGCAGTACTCCACTTACATCAATGGACAGATCATCCAGACAGAAAGCCAAGAAAGAAATATTTGCCTTAAATGACACATTAGACCAGATGGACTTAATAGATATATAGAACATTTCATCCCACAACAGTGGAGTATACATTCTTCTCAAGCACACATGGAATAGTCTTAAAGATAGACCTCATATGTTGGAAAACAAAAAAGTCTCACTAAATTTAAGGAGATTGAAATGATATAAGCATCTTTTCTGACTACAATGCTATGAAACTAGAAATCAATTACAAGAAGAAAGCTGGAAAAGTCACAAATATGTGGAGACTGAACTACATGTAACTGAACAACTACTAGATCAATGAAGAAATCAAAGGAGAAATTGAGAAATACTTGGAGAAAATGAAAATGAAAACACAACATACTAAAACGTATAGGATGGAGTAACAGTGGTAATAAGAAGAATGAATATAGCAATTCAGGCCTACCTAAACAAACAAGAAAAATCTCAGTTAAAAAATATAACACTATCTTTAAAAGAGCTAGGAAGAGAAGAACAAAGGTCAAATTCAGTAGAATGAAGGAATAAAAAAAATTAGAGCAGAAATAAATGAAATAGAGACTAAGAAGACATTAGGAAAAGTCAATGAAACTAAGAGCTGGTTCTCTGAAAAGATAAACAAAACTGCCAAACCCTTAAACAGACTCAGTAAGAAAGAAAGAGACACATCTCAAATAAAGAAAATCAGAAATGAATGAGGATAAATTACAATGGATATCATAGAAATACAAAGCATTATGAGAATATTATGAAAAGCAATATGCTAACAAATTGGATAATCTAGAAGAAATGGATAAATTCTTAGAATCACACAACCTCCCAAAACTGAATCAAGAAGAAATAGAGAATATGAGTAGACCAACCACTAGTAAAGAAACAGTAATCAAAAACCTCCCAAATACAAATGTCCAGGATGACACAGTTTCTCTGGTGAATCCTACCAAATATTCAAGAAGTTTCAATACCTATCTTCTTAAAGTCTTCCAAAAAATGGAGGATGGGATTTTCCTAACTCATTTTATGAGGCTAGCATTATCCTGATATCAAAACTGGACAAGGACAACATAAACAAAATTGCAGGCCAGTATCTCTGAAGAACATAGATGCAAAAATTCTCAACAAAATATTAGCAAATCAAATACTGCAATACATCAGAAGGATCATATATCATGATCAAGTGTATTCCTGGGATGCAAAGATGGTTCAACATCAGCAAATCAGTCTATGTGAGAAACCACATTAACAAAATGAAGAATAAAAACTACGTGATCATCTCAACAGATGTAGAGAAAGCATTAACAAGAGTCAGCATAAATGTAAGATAAAAATTCTCAATAAAATAGGTATAGAAGGAACGTACCTCAACGTAATAAAGGCCGTATATGACAAACCCACAGCTGACATCATACTCAATGGTGAAAAACTTAAAGCTATCCCTGTAAGAACAGGAACAAGACAAGGATCACTTGTCTTATTCAACAT